AAATGCTTTTTATACGCATATACAAAATGAACTCATCAATGGTTATGATCAAATGAATCCATCAACTGTTGCCCATTTGAATAACTTTAAATTTCAGGTCTTGAGAGCCATTTTCTTGGTAGCATGGATGGTCTTTTAATATTTTCAGCTGCAATACACATGGTTTGGAGAATAAACTTTAAATTCATCAATTTTAGATGCTGAATCGACGGAAAAGAATTTGGCCAACATCTCATCATGAATTGTTGAGGCTCTTCTTTGACTGAAGGTTATCAAACCGTAGACTGACCTCTGGGGTGCCCGTAGGGGGTCTGACCCCGACCCGGCGGATACTGCCAGCAGGAGGTCTGGGCAGGCGCCACTCCCCACCAGCTCCCCATCAGCGCTACCCACCAGCCCTGGGGCTCGGTGCACGCGGACGTCTCCCGGCTGGCACGTCTCCCTTTTCTTCCTATCTCAACGGGTTTACTTTTTTCTCGGTGAAGAAAGTTTGGGGAGGATGACATGGGTTGGGAACAACTGTAGACTATGAACTACAAAGAGTTTCTTCTGTACGTTTATTATATACACTGACTGCAATGTTTACTATCAGGGTTTGGAGCTTCAAATATCTACAAATAAGATTTCCTATATATGCAAATGTATCCAGCCTTCCCAGCAATTTAAAGAGAAAATTTAATGTTAAAGATTGGGCTGACCTTAAATCTTGTGTCAAGAAAATATCTGTGCTTCTGGATAATACAGACAAGATTCCCCCATCTTCCCAAATACATGAGGGATAACAGGGCAAAATAACATAAAAAAAGAGGTATAATTGTGCTTTTTTTTCCCCCAACAATGAATGAATTATGTAGAACAAAACAGCATGATCATCTCACAAAAAGTCTTTTAATTAACCTTATTTTCCCTTAAAGAAAAAAAAAAGGATCGTTAACTTCTAATAATGCTACCATGAAGTACAAATAGGTATGGTCCTACACAAAATGAAAGTTGGATTCCTTTGGTTCCGTTGCTTGAGTAATAAGTTGAGTGAATTGGGATGGTATTGGTCTTTCTTATCAGATAAATAAAAGGAAGCGTGTATTGTGTCAGGTAATAGAGGTGAACATTTTTTTTAATTCTAAAAAGCTGCTTATATAATTCAGAAACATTTAAACTAATATATAGCACTCAACTTATTTCTTAAATCAGGAACAATAATATTGTTCCAATAAGAAGCCCTTTTCTAGGTCTTTCTGCTCTGTCCTTCAGATTCACACAGGGTATAAATAAAGTTCATGACCAAATTGCACTGCTTGTGATAAGCAGGATTCAATTACATTCACCACTCCCTGGGGAGGGCCCATTACCATGGGCAAATACAGAAATATAGTATCACTATAAATGCATTCAGAATTAGTCTTTGGTTTAGTATGTATTCACCAAATTCAGGGAGGAAATAAAATCTGCATAAACATGGAGGCGGGGGGGGGGGGGGGGGGGGGGGGGAGAAGAAGAATGTACAATGAGTTCTGATGACCCGTCCGGCCCAACCGCTTAGAAATGCAGAAACTACCAAACACCTCTTTTTGGTCAAATGGCCCCCTTAATTTCCAGACTTTCCCATATAAGGTGGTTCAAAGTCAAGTCTGAGTACCTTAGCTTAGGAGATTCACTCAATTCAAAAAGCATTTCTTGAGATGATAACTATAATATAAAGTCAAAAAGGACTCAAGGTTGAGTCATGAAGCCGTATGATCAGCAAAATGTCTAGGGATGGTGGTGGGGAGTGATTTTAAGCTAAATACCTATCAACAAACTGTTTTAGTGTTTCCTGTGTACATGTACAAATGTACCTTTCGTTTTACAACTTGTCTTTAAATAAGAAAAGAACGAGAAAATTTTTAAATGTTACCTTTGTCTAAGGATTTCTTTCTTTTAAGCACGGATTTTTATGCTGGTTTAAGGTTTATCCTCATGAAGTGATCCACACACACGCGAAAAGGCAGAATCCCCTTATCCCAGGCTGACTAGAGAACACAGACAGGACAGAGAATAGAAGCCCATCGTCCTGACATTTAAAGCTTAGTATCTTTAAAACATTAAAGTCCGTTGATGAACCTTGTTTAGGAGCGGGAGCATCTTTTGAACCACACAGGAAAACACACACACAAGCACAGCCTTTCTTTGCCCTTCCTTTTAATCCACTGGGTTTGAGTCTCTTAGGACTCCACACTTCCTTTGGCAGCAGTTTTGGGAAATTAATGCTATAACCTCTAATCTGGGACGGTGGGTATCAGCATTTCCCTCCCTGAATCCTTCCTCCTAACTTACCACTCCCAGGGGAGGGACTCATTATAATGGGCAGCTACTATTAGTGACAGCCCTAAAACCATTTGCACAGACTAAAGTTAGAGATGTCAAGTTGGGATACAAGATGAAACTGAACAACATCAGAGAAGATGGAGAGGAGAAAAATTAGTAACCGACACTGCCATTCTATTTACACACCGAACTAAATACACTAGTTAAAATCAAGTTAATGTCTGCCCAGAGGATATTACAATTAACCAACATAAAAGATTAAAACAAGCAGCAACTTTTATATAAAATAAAGACAAATGAAAAAAGAAATTGTCAGTAGCATCTATCTCCTCAATGTGTCTGAAATGCACGTTATAAACTAGTCCATTAGTACAGCAGCTTGCTAAAAATTGACTTTGGTTCAAGCTTAGTTAAAAAAAGAAAACAAACAAACAAAAAAACGACAACATAAAAAAAACACACCACACATAAAAAAAGGTGGATGGACATTATTTGTTAGTTTCCCTGCTTGCAGTTCACTGATTTTGGAGGGATTTTGGGGAAGGTGAACGGTGAGAAGAGGAAATTTAGGTTGATAATTAAATACTCCGTGAAATAAAACGGGAAGACAGAAGCAACAAAAGAAAAATTAACAAAGGGACTAAATCCGTTTCTGGCCATTTAATATTAAGGTGCCTGTCTCCCACTTGGACGATCACACACAAAAATACACGCTGTATCTGTATCACTGCCTTTCCCAACACTGTGAAGAGACAAACACACAGACTCCAAGCTCTCTTGGGGACATAAGCAGAGCAATCAGAACGAAAACGACCTGTCCACTCTCTCTCAGACCCTAGCTCGAAAGGGGGGAAAGTGCAGTCTTGGGCCACTGGAGATAAAAGCAGGCAGCCACAGATACCAAACGGGAACCTGATCTCCAATAAGAGGGGGGGGCTCAGACGAGCCGCATCGCAGTGATCCAGTCGTCCGGGAAATGTCTTGGTACAGACAAAACATCATAATAGTACGCTGACACAAAGGGGAATTGAATTTCCAAGTTACCCTCATTCCTCTTCATCTACTTCCATAAACTCTTCCTTTCGACGGGCTCATTTACATCGTCTAGAAACACCCTGAAAACAATTCCGGAAGCTAATCACTTTCTACAGCGTATAGCGAGACGTGTATTGCCGTTCTGACCTACCGAGCTGGAGCATCACTAATAAACCAAGGAGACACTTGAGGTGTGTGCAAAGTTCCTGCTCAAAGTCCTTCAAAGGTTCTAAGACCCCGTGCCCAGCCAGTAAGTGCATTCTCCAGTCAGGGAAGCAAGGAGAGTCTTAAGGTTAGAGGAATTTACACGTCGTCCAGTGAAAAGGAAGTCTGCGGCCACCGGAAAAGGTGGGAGCCTCAGACTCTTCCCATCACACCTCTTTGGGGGATACAGACTCGATGGCAACAGTCTAGGGGAGTTCCTTCAGAACACAACAGAAGGGAGGAGCTTCCCGATTTCAAGAAGTCAATTCGCTCTTTGCCAAGTAAATGAAAGGAAGTTTGAATGGAAAACTTTCACAAAATGGAAACAAACAAACAAACACACCAACAGTAGGAGCATTTCTCAGGAGACAGGGAATCAGGAGAACCACCAAGTCAGGTGTCTGCAGTAGTCTTTGCTCTTCGGAACCAGATCCTGCCCTGCGACACACGCGGCCGTCTCCACGGACAGCAGACGGCGCCCCGGTGCACCGCAGGATCTGGGCCTCAGGGTCATTCAATGATCCGGGGTGAGTGAGAGCTACAGTTCAGCAGGAATTGCTTCCTACACAAAAGTGCTCCGAAGGCACCACCTGATGGGGGAGGGGGCGTGTGTGGAGCGGGAGTGTTTGCACACACTGCCATCAGCTTCTGCACCAAGCCTCTTGCATAAGTGGCAAAAGAAAATAATTTTCTAGCACCTCTGTAAGAGTCATCAAGGATAAGGAAACCAGCAAGAACATTCCCCGCAGTTAAGAACGTAAGTCTCCCCTTACCCCCAAACCCTCCCTCCCCACAGTGTGGGAGCTCACTGAAGTAGGATCCAGGAGCAAGAGATAAACATGTCCAAACTATATATATATATAAAAAACAATAACAACAACAACAATAATAATAGAGATACAGTAATACAGGCCTGCCTAAATTGTACCAGTTAAGAAAGGAACCCCCAACACAATTGATACGATTATAAACACCTTGTTATGACTTACTGGCCTGTACAACAGACCCATAAAAATGATTTTTTTTTTTTTAAGAAAAAAAGAAATTTAGACAAACAAGAAATCCCCTTCCTATATCGGAATTGGTAACCCACCTTAACTTGTCATCATGACTGCTGGAAATGATAAGTAGTCCTTTCACTTATGTTTTTGTTTTTGATTTTTTGTTTCTGCTTTTTTTTTTTTTTTTTAATTTTTGGTTAGAAAGTTCTCCAATCCATGAAGCAATCCTGAAAAGACAGTGTTTTATTACAAAATTAGGCAAATGTTGTCCTGTCTCCATCCTTTTTTTTTTTTTTTCCTCTGGTAGGCGTTTTTCTCCTTTTCTCCCTTCTCTCCCTTGCTTGCTGTTGAAACATGGCAAGAGGAAGCCAATCACATTGTTCAGTCTCAGCCTGGCTGGCAGGCCACTCGCGCGGCAGGTGGCAAAGGCTGGTGGCAGGCCCCGCGCGGCCCCGCTCACTGTGCCTTGGAGGCGGTGGTGGTGGTGGAGGCGGCCCCGCTGGCAGAGGCCACCGTGAAGAGAGAGTTCTGGATGGACTCGGCGGACGCGGAGGTGGCGTGGAGGCTGGCTACAGGCCCAGAGTTCCCTGCGGAGGCTGCGGCGGCGGAGACCAAGCTCACTGGGTTGCTGGTGAGCAGAGAGAGGTTCTGAGGGTTCAGGAACAGGGGGGCAGTCACGATGTTGGGGGCTCCTCCCGCATTGGCAAATACCAGGTTCCCAGTCGCATCCAGTGACGTTATTGGAAGAGAGCCACCAGAAGCGAGAGCTACAGACAAAACCCCCCCCAAACGGGCAGAAAAGAGAATGTTAAAACCATTCTAGAGAAGCCAAGTAATACATCAAGGGTGCTGAGGCTTCCTACAGCCCAGGTGGGAACGGTGCAGCCCTTAATTGACTTGTGTTCTTCACATACTGCCATCCTGTCACCAAATGAAGTTTCCTTATGATTTTGAAAACACCTAAATAGGCTGAAATTCTAACTAATTTAACGAGCACAAGCAGGACAGGTGAGAGGGGAGAGTTAAGAACTGTCTCATGAATCAGAGCTACGCTGCCATCTCAGAACCTCAACTCTATTCCATCTTCCTACAAGTATTTTTAAATCTGGTCGTTTTGTTTTTAATGAAGATTGCCGATTGTAACCCTCTTCCATTCAAAAGACAAACTAGCTACGGTGATGGGGGCATTAAAATATAATTAGCTTTTATCAAACTAACTGGCATTATTGATAAATTTGAGCATTTTGGTACGATGGACAAGATAAAAACCACCTTTCTAAAATGACCTTAGTTCTAAAATAATTACATATTACCAAATACGGTGTAAGGTGAAGTTAATTTTTCACTTGCTGAGGCATCACATTTGATTCCTAGGACTTCTACAAAGGAGAATGAGGAGGGCAGTAGAGATGTATGGACGCGGTGGCCTCAGGGGGTTATCTAAGGTTGGGACTTGCTTTCACGCATGAGAATTGCTCTTTTAATGCTGTTCCATTATAGCACCCGGATTACTCTTCCACAGAAGGCATTAACGAACTTTACTTTTAAATAACTGGCACTCTCATTTAGTATCTTTTTCTGTTATCTGGCAACCCTTCCAATATCCTCCCACCCATATAACTACATTTTCACATGTAGGTTTGAGGGGGTTTCTAACGGCATTATTTGGTTGATATCTGGGGCACCCAGTTGGCATAGTTGGAAGAGCATATGACTTTTGATCTTGGGGTTGTGAGTTAGAGCCCCACTTTGGGTGCAGACATTACTTAATAAATATTTTTTCAGTTGTGGGGGGGGGCACCTGAGTGGCTCAGTGGGTTGAGCACCCAACTCTTGATTTCAGCTCAGGTCATGATCCCAGGGTCATGTGATAGAGCCCCAACGTCGGGCTCCGAGCTGGGCACAGAGCCTGCTTAAGATTCTCTCTGTCTCTCTCCCCTGCTCACACTCTCTCTAAAATAAAAAAAATAAGAAAAAGTAAAATTCCAATAAATCTAGATTAAAAACTTTTGGCTGATTTCATATATAACGAAAGCTAGAGGGACTGACTTGGACATGATCATACAAAGAGCACAGATCGGTGAGATTTGGTGCAGCTTTAAGTTTTCTGAGATTCTAGGTTCAGGGGCATAGAAGAGTTCTAGATATTCCCAGACAGTACTTGTTCTATACTCAGCTGTGCCCTGGGGAAGGCATTTGCCTTTGTAGCATCACTAAAGCCCAGAGGTTTCCTCATGTAAGAGCAAAAGTGATTTATCACAAATCTCATGCCAAAAAGAAATCCTTGTATACCAAAAGGTTTACAGCTCTAACCATCAATTTTACATATGATTTCATCAAGGAGAAAGTCAATATAATGTAAGGTAATCATTCTAATGATATATTAGAAAAAATCATTCTAATATATATAGAAAGAGTATTTAGAAATATATATTTAGAAGAAATATGTATTCAGTCATCTGAATGACCAAATTGGTATTTCTCAGATATATCTGGTCTACACCCACAGTTCCTGAAAACACTTCAGAGCCAAAACCATGAAACGGGTCTTGATATCAGTGAAGGGGACTTTTGGATGCCACCCAAGGGCAGGGACGGGTTGCCCCTAGGACCAACCATGTGATCTGAGGGTTGGAACTTTTAGTCCCACCCCCAACCTCACATGATGGGAGGGGAACATGGAGTTTGATTCAGCCAACGGCCAATGCCTTCTTAGTCAATCATGACTGTGTCATGAAGCTTCCGTAAAAACCCAGGGGGACAGGGGCGCCTGGGTGGCGCAGTCGGTTAAGCGTCCGACTTCAGCCAGGTCACGATCTCGCGGTCCCTGAGTTCGAGCCCCGCGTCAGGCTCGCGTCAGGCTCTGGGCTGATGGCTCAGAGCCTGGAGCCTGTCTCTGATTCTGTGTCTCCCTCTCTCTCTGCCCCTCCCCCGTTCATGCTCTGTCTCTCTCTGTCCCAAAAATAAATAAACGTTGAAAAAAAAAAATTAAAAAAAAAAAACCCAGGGGGACAGCTTTTGGGTCTTGTCTGGAGAGCCTCCACTCTTGGAGAACCAGAATACTTCTATGTGCCACTGAGCCAGACCTCAAATTCCACTGCGGACAGAAACTCCTCTGTTTGGGACCTCATCCTATGTATCTCTTTATCTGGCTGTTGATTTGCATACTTTATCATATCCTTTAACAAACTGGTAAATGTGTTTCCCTGAGTTCTGTGAGCTGCTCTAGCCAAGTAACAGAATCAATCTAAGGAAAAGGTTGTTGGAACCGCCAATCTGTAGCTGGTCAGAAGCATAGGTAATAATAGCCGGGGCTTACCACTGGTGTCTGAAGGGGAGGGAGGAACGGTTTTGTTGGACTGAACCCTTACCCTGTGGAATCTGATGCTATCTCTAGGTAGACAGTGTCAGAGTTAAGTTAAAGTCTGAGATACCCTGCTGGTCTGCAAGGCTTGCTTGGTGTTGTGGGGCACGTTGAAACTGGGTCCAGGAAACCCAGAAGTATAATCTAATCTAAGTCATGTCTTAGGTTTGTCTGTAACTCATATTCTCTATAGTATACTGCAGAGATACCATCCATGAAACACTAATCTTGACTGAGGTTGGCTAAGAGCATATTTTTGGCCCCAAGAGCTCTCATTTAAGTATGAACCATTCACATTTTAAGACACACACACACACTCTCTCTCTCTCTCTGATTTATATAGTGATGTCTCAAATTGTTTTCCTGAGTCACGTAACATAGCATCTTAGCATATAAAGCTCAGAAGCTAAATAAGGCAAACCCTTCACATACGGACTGAATGGATTTAGACCCATTTTAGACTGGATAGCATGCGAAGGCCAAAAGAGACCCAATGGGCTTGGAAAAGAGACAATCCAAGAGAATATACATTCTGAACTGATGGGGATATACAAAGGGCAGAACCTAACAATTAAAAGTACTCTTGAAGTCTATATAATGTGCTCCAAGGTTAATCCTTATAGGACCTTCTCCTATGTGGCTCTCCTATGTGGGGGTGGGGCTGGGGACTGGGGAATTTATCTTGGTGGTGCTTACCTGGGGATGGGTCTTGGATGACTACTTAGATAAATTTATCAGGGGGAAATTCTGCCTCGAAGTCTATTCACATAAGATAAATATCAGCATAACAATTCCTGTTATTTTGTTTGTTTTTTTGTAATATTCCAAACTAAGCATATTTCCTGTTCTTACAAATTGACACCTATACTTCTTGTAGAAAGTAGAAGGGCTTGTAGAAGTCCTTTTTTTCACAAGGACATTTTCTTGGTCGTCAAGTTAGCATGATCAATTCAACCACCTTTCCCCATCACCTTTACCTCTAGCAAAGCAAACGTCCCTCATTAAAAACAAACAAACAAACAAACCCAAAGGTCTAAGTAAGGGGAAAAATTCTACTGACCTTGAATAGTTGCCAGTGTACTGTTGCTCATGAGAGCCGGGCTGAGAGCACCGCCCAGGGTCCCTGGATTGAGACTGAGTAAGGCACCTCTGAAAGTCCAAAAGAGCAGTCACTTTGTTACAATGTAGGCACATCTGTCATCTTGACAATACACCCAAAGGAATAAGAAAAAGGAAAATGCAGCTGGGGAAGTACATGGAAATATCTGTTATTCTCCTTCTGAGAATAAGCTTTGGTTACTGCCTTCTTTGATGCTTAGTTGTACAAAGCGAAACGAGGATATGATCCACACAAAACCTAAAACCTGCAGAGTCATGCTGACTTTTCTTCGAATTACCTCATTCTTGGGGCGCCTGGGTGGCTCAGTCGGTTAAGCGCCCGACTTCGGCTCAGGTCATGATCTCATGGTTTGTGAGTTTGAGCCCCACGTCCGGCTCTGTGCTGACAGCTCAGGGCCTGGAGCCTGGTTCAGATTCTGTGTCTCCCTCTCTCTCTGTCCCTCCCCTGCTCGCGTCCTGTCTGTCTCTCTCTCTCAAAAATAAATACACATTAAAAAAAATTAAAAACAAAAAATGAATTACCTCATTCTTTTTTTCCCCCCAAAACAAAACAAAAAGATGCCAGAGAAAGGCACATATTGAAAAAGGAATCCTTCCTGTTCGATAATATAAAAAACAGGGGATCTTATGACTCTGCATCTTGTCCGTGTTTGAAAATCAGAAAGCAGACAGTTGAGAGAGCTTAGGTGGAGAATGCAGAAGAGTGAGCCAGGAATTGTGGGCTTCCGTCCGGGCCCCACCGCTCGGGCAGATCAGCGCTAGTGGCCTGGTTTCCGCGTCCTCACCTGGAAATGACGGTAGGATGGCCGCCCTCCCGGAGCATTAAGAAAGCGGAGTCTGGCCGCAGGAAGGCCCTTGCACCCCCCCAGAGCCTCCCACTCCAAAGAGCTGATGGCTCTAAAGAGGGTTTCTCTTGCTTTATGCATTTCAGATGGAGACGGTCTGCCCTACGAGCGACTCCGGGGAGCACTGACTTCTAGCGGTCTCTCGGGGGTGACCGAGGTGCGAACGCTCCTTACCCAGCTGCGAACTGCGAGGGCGCCATCAGGCCTGGGCTCAGTCCCGCGGCGGCGGCCATGGCGGCGAGACTGGCGTTGGCCGGCAGCTGCGCGGCCCCTTGGAGGGCGGCGGCCGCCGCCGTTTGCAACCCTGACGCCGTCACCATCACCTGGCTGGTGCCGAGAGGAGAGGACAGAGTGGAGGTGGTCTGCGTTGTGCTGGTCTCGCTGGCGCCGGATGCCTCGGAGGCGGAGGCCGAGGCGGACGGGGAGGGGCTCAGCGAGGGGGACGTGACTGCGGAGGAAGCTGGCGGCGCGGTGGAGATCACGGTGGCAGTGTTGTTGGAGGTGCTGTCTGTGGTGCCTGCAGAGAGAACCAGAGGAGAAAGTGCCCTTCGGTGGCTGCTTCTGGAAGAACGGTGCTCTGGACGCAACTGCGAACAAGCTAATCTCCCATCCAGGAACCTCTGTGTCCTTTATTAACCTCGTTTTGCGTCTCTATGGAAACTAACCACAAAAACAAACACTTTAGAACCAGACCCCGGTTTAAGAGGCAAGAGCAATAAAGCGGCCATGAAAGAAACAGAGAACACAGATTTCCATGTCCAATTTCTTATTCAGAACGCAAAGAATCACAGCAGCTCTGACTATGGAATGCAACTGGTCTGGGGAAGAAACATATGAGCAAAAAAGCTACTTGTATAGAGTTGTCTCTATAGAAAAATCAAAACTGTGGCACCTGGGTAGCTCAGTCGGTTAAGCAACCGACTTCGGCTCAGGTCATGATCTCGTGGTTCGTGGGTTCGAGCCCTGCATTGGGCTCTATGCTGACAGCTCAAAGCCTGGAGCTTGCTTCGGATTCTGTGTCCCCCTCTCTCTGCCCCTCCCCAGCTTGTGTTCTGTCTGTCTCTCTCTCTCAAAAATAAATGAACATTAAACAATTAAAAGAAAAAAAGAAAAATCAAAACAACACAATGAAGGCAAGAAGAACTAAAAGTTACATATTCTTCTAAGTGTCAATAATAACATGTGAAAATAGTATGAAAATAACTAAGAGCCTATGTCTAGATGCTTTCTTTGCACCGAAAAATCTAAGTAGTTATTCTGTAACAAAAACCAGCTCTCCAAAAGCCTATTGTGGTAAATATTTTCTTATTCATGAAACAGTAACATACAAATATATTATGAATCTCATAAAAGCATGAAAAATGAAGCTCTAGGAAACTGTTAGTTGAGAGACCTTAAAAAATCAAGATGCCAAATTTCTTTTTGTTATAAGGAGAACAACAAACATTTGTATACAAATGAATGATTGACATTACAAATATCATCACTGAAACACACTCACTGGAATTACTTAATCAATGCTGTCCAACAGAAACACAACAAATACGTAATTTAAAACTTTCTAGGGGTCCAACTGAAAATATCAGGAAGAAATAGGTTAAATTATTTTCAATATTATATTCCATTTAACCCAATATATCCACAAATATTATCATTTTAACATGAAACCAGTATCAAGAAAGTACTGATGTTTCTTCATACTAAGTCTCTGAAAATGGTGTGTATTTTATACTTGTAACACATCTCAATTTGAACTAGCTACACTTTATGTGCTTAAAAGCCACAGGTGGCTAGGGCCTGCCGTATTGGGTAGCACAAGTCTGAAATACGTCTAGAAGTCAGGCTTGTTGAGTCACAAAGGCAAGTGTGATGAAAAGAATGTTAAGTCTCTTTGCCTAAAGTAGAAATGACTCATAAGGCAGTCACAGGATAGAAAACCTTCCACAAAGTGGAAGATGCCAGCCGTCCCCAGTGAGCTGTAATTCTGATGCTATTTAGAGAGGCAAGAGAGAACAGGCCCTTTTATTTCAGTTATCAGCAATGCCACATATCACAAACACAGGCTGCCTACACTAGCCGGAACTTAATTTACTGAAACTTACTATGTTCTAGTAGATAACCAACCATATATATGTATAAAGCAGGACCTAAGTGGTATTTTCTCAGGATAGAGGACTCAAAAAGCATCTATAAATTTTCAGGATAATACTTCTGTGAGGTATAAAAGGCTTGATACATTATAGAAGAACCAGACCAATCAAAACAAATCTTTCAAACCATTGGAACAAAGATCTTAATGTCAAAGGTAACTTTTTGGTGATAAAATACATCATTAAGCTCAAGAAGACTCTTAAAAAATTCAGTTTGGCCCTTCTAAAAGACCGTTTTCAAGCCTTCTTCTGGTTGATACTAAGAACACCTAGAATTCAACTCTTTTCTCATTTTAACTCTAAGGAAATGTTGCTTTCACACATCACAGAACTGGGAGGAAATTAGACCTATTTCAGTATTGACTCTACTGTTCCCACCCCCTACACTACGGCACAAAAGCGTTACATGGTCTCAGTGAATCCGGTAAACATATCTTTCTCATTGCTAATCAAAAGGGGAGCATTTACTCCTCTTTCTGCCCTTCTCAAAAATATATACCATTCCTCCTTTATTGCTGCCGTCCCTAAGTACAACTACGTCTACGCGGATAATCATGGTTCCGTTATTTTCGCAGTTCTAAGTCTATCTGATCACTCTATCACTGAGCCTCTGGTGCAGGGCTGGGTCCTACGTTGGGCAGAGTCACACTTTGACACCTGTAACAGATTCTATTTAGAAAGGTAAATGTCTTCTCTCCTTTCTCTTCTACCACTAAGACATTTCAGTGTACTTTCAATCTTTTCTTGCCCAACGTCTCACCTTATCTACCCTGATTTTAACTACGGACACTACCTCCCTTTCAAAGTTCAGAAGCTGAAACCCTCCATTTCCAGAAGACCCCTTATCTCGAGGTCAAAGGCTTAAAACAGGCTTTTCCTCACTCTCCACTGCCACTTTCAGGCAGGTCATTCAGTGTCAGTCTCCTGAAATCCCATGTGTATACACGGAAAGTCCCAGTCAATGTCAGCAGCAAAGTTAACCTGGGCTGGAAGATGACTCCAGACAGTGGAGGGCCTGCTTGGGATTCTCTCTCTTCCCTCTCTGCCCCACCCCACCCGGCTTGCTCTCTCTTACAAAATAAAGAAATAAACTTAAAAAAAAATCTAAAAATCTTCATAAAGACACTGCCGCCCTGTTTTCCAAAGTGGCTGTATGATTGTACATTCCCACCAGCAATGGATGAGGTTTCCAGTTTCTCCACATCCTTGCGAGCACTGGTGATTTTGGGGTTTTCTGATGATAGCCATTGAATGAGTACAAAACAGTATGGTTTTAATTTGCATTTCTCTAATGAGTAAAAATGTTGAGCACCTTTTCATGTGCTCGTTAGTCATTTCTATATGTTCTTTGGCATAATATACATTAACATCTTTTGCCCTTTTACAAAATGAGGTCGTTTATATTTTTAATACTTAATTGTAAGAGTTATTCATATGCTCTAGATGCTTCTTTATCAGATACAGGATTTGCAAATGTTTTCTCCAAGTCTGTGGCTTGACTTTTCATTTTCTGAAAACATCTCTCAAAGTACAGAAGATTTTGCTTTTGATAAATTCCAATTTATCATTTGCTTTTCTTCTATGAATTGTGTTTTTGGTGCTATATCTACAAACTCTTTGCCCTGTATCTACAAACTTACGCCAAAGTCATAAAGATTTTCTCCTGTTTTCTAGAAGTTTTATTTCTTACATTTAGGCCTTTGATCCCCTCTACTTAATTTCTGTGCATGGTGTTGGGAAGGATCTAAATTCATCTTCATGAATATGGATATCCAATTGTCTCAGAACCATTTGGTGAAGAGTATCTTTTCGCTACTGAACTGCTTTGGTACCTTTGTCAAAAGTCAACAGAATATAAATTTAAAGGTTTGTTTCCGGCCCCTCAATTCTGTTCCATTAATCTACTGTTTGCCCCTATGCCAGCAGCATCCAGGCTTTATTGCACAGCTTTGCAGTAAGCTCTGAAATCAGGTATTTAAGTCCTCCAACTTCATTCTTTTTCAAATTTGGACTATTCTGGGTCCCTTCCATATATACTTCAGACAATGAGTTTATCAATTACTGCAAAAAAAATTATTAGAATTCTGACTACAATTATATTGGATCTACAGATCAATTTAGAGAATACTGTCATCTTTTTTTTTTTAATACTGTCAATTTTTTAAAGTTCTTTATTTATTTACTTAGAGAGAGTGAGCGAGCACGTGCACGAGTGAGCGGGGTAGGGGCAGAGAGACACTAAGAGAGATGATCCCAAGCAGGCTCAGCGCTGTCAGCACAGAGCCCGATCTGGGGCTCGAACTCACAAACCATGAGCCGAAGCCAAGAGTCAGATGCTTAATTGACTGAGCCACCCAGGTGACCCTAGAGAATACTGTCATTTTAAAAATACTGAGTCTTGGTGCACCTAGGTGGCTCAATAAATTTCTTGATTTCTCTTGATTTCAGCTCAGGTCATGACCTCACAGTTCATGAGCTCGAACCCAATGTTGGGATTCTCTCTCCCCCTCTCTCTGCTCCTTCCCAGCTCATATGCTCGCTCTCTCCAAAAAAAACCCCCCCAAAAAACCAACTAAACCAAAAACCAAAAAAAAAAAAAAACCAAACACACACACACACACACACACAAAAACAAAAAACAAAACAATCTTCCAAACCATGAAGCTGGAGCATCTCCGTTTATTTAGACTTTATTTAATTTCTCTCAGCAAATTGCAGTTCTCACTGTATAAGTCTTATACTTCTTTTGTTAGATTTATTCCCAGGTATTTTATTCTTCTCGAAGCTACTATGAATAAAATTATTTCTGTAATATCATTTTTGGTCCATTCACTGATAGAATATACAAATGCAACTGATTTTTGTAGATTGATCTTGTATTCTGCAACAACACTCAATTCATTTCTTAGTCCTAAATACAAATCCCTTGGGATTTTTACATACACAGAATAATGCAAATAAAGACAGTTTAACTTCTCTCCTTTCAAACTGAATGTTTTTAATTTTTCCCCCTTGTTAAGCTGGCTATGATGTCTAGCATCATGTTAAATGGAAGTCGGCAAGAGCTTGCTTTGTTCTTGATATTAGGGGGAAAAGCATTCAGTCTTTCACCATTAAGTATGGTGTTAGCTGTAGGATTTTAATGTTCTTTTCCAGGTGAGGAAGTTCTTTTCTATTCCAGGTTTTTATCATGAACTGGTTGTTGGATTCGGTCAAATGCTTTTTTCATATCCACTGAGATGACAGTGTGGATTTGGCCCTTTCTCCTGTTGCTATGGTATATTGTATTATTTAATGTGCACTTATTATTAAACCAACCTTACATTCCCAGGCTAAATCCCCCTTGATGGTGGTGTATGATCTTTTC